TGATGAGGCAGCGGCTAATTTTGCGTTTGTTGAACTCAAGAGGATCATCCCGAGGCTACCACAACCGGTAATGTATCTGTTTGTGCAGGTCTAAAAAGTTTGTTATCAGAGGTTGCTTTCTAACTAAAATTTTTGTTGGATTGATCAGATTCAGTATCTTGTGTCTCGATGGGGTTCAGATGTTAACTCACTTGGTTCCTATAGCTATGATACAGTAGGAAAACCCCATGATCTGTATGAGAGGCTACGGGTACCGGTAGATAACCTATTCTTTGCAGGGGAAGCTACGAGTGTGGACTACCCTGGGTCGGTACACGGTGCATTCTCAACTGGCCTGATGGCTGGTGAAGACTGCAGGATGCGTGTGTTGGCACATTATGGCGAACTGGACTTGTTCCAGCCGGTAATGGGTGAAGAATCCCCAGTGTCTGTCCCACTCTTGATATCCCGTATGTAGATGCATTTACAGGGGATCAGCTATACATTGTTGCCAACTCTATTCAGTCAATGTGTGGTAGTCTCAAGCATTTTACTGATGTTTGGACAAAAACAGAAAATTTGATCACAAAATCACAAAATTACAAAATTTTAAATAACAAAAGTATATATATATATATATATTTAACTTGAATTGAAATAACAAAAGCATCAATTTTAATTTTATTTAAGAGAGAAGTATTCACTTACTCCCCAAAATTCAAGTTCCTACAAACAAAAAAACAAATGATGTATAAATTATAAATTATTTCAAAATGAAATTGTTCATTTTTGTCCGGATTCTGATTTTGTGATTTTGATCATCTCTTTATAAATTGGGTTTGTTGTTCATGAACTTGTGATTGCTAAATTTCGTCAACAAAATTGTTAAATCGACATACAAACTAATTTAGTGACTTATATCTTACTTGTAAGTATTAATTATTGAACATATAGATTATTGCATTAAGGATATTTTAGTGGAAAGTATAGGATGGTGTGAGCTCATAAAATACATGACTGTTTTTGACCAAAGTACTTATTGTTGACTACCCCATTACATACTGAAATTAAATAAAAAATTATTAATAAGAAATACAAATATAATTTAAATATTGTAAAAATATCATCACTAAAACTTTCGTATTCAATTTAGAATTTGTTTACATGAGAGAGCAAACCGAATGTGTTCTTAAAATTACACAACACTAATCCAATCCAGTATACTCGGTTCATCTACATAATATTTATGCTTGTCCAGTAATCAAATCTAAGGATGAGTAATTTATAGGTATTCCACACAAAATAGGGTCTTCATTCATATTTATTTTATGTTTGTCCAAACATCAGTAAATACTTGTAGGTATGCCATGCCATACAGAGGAGACTACTACACACTGACTGAATGGAGTGTTGGGTAAAAATGGTTGCTTCAGATTAACACACTCCCAACAGGCTAATAATTAAGTTGGCGACAATGTATAGCTGATCCCCTGTAAATGCATCTACATACGGGATATCAAGAGTGGGACAGACACTGGGGATTCTTCACCCATTACCGGCTGGAACAAGTCCAGTTCGCCATAATGTGCCAACACACGCATCCTGCAGTCTTCACCAGCCATCAGGCCAGTTGAGAATGCACCGTGTACCGACCCAGGGTAGTCCACACTCGTAGCTTCCCCTGCAAAGAATAGGTTATCTACCGGTACCCGTAGCCTCTCATACAGATCATGGGGTTTTCCTACTGTATCATAGCTATAGGAACCAAGTGAGTTAACATCTGAACCCCATCGAGACACAAGATACTGAATCTGATCAATCCAACAAAAATTTTAGTTAGAAAGCAAACCTCTGATAACAAACTTTTTAGACCTGCACAAACAGATACATTACCGGTGTGGTAGCCTCGGGAAGGATTCTCTTGAGTTCAACAAACGCAAAATTAGCCGCTGCCTCATCAGACATTTTCTCAATGTCTTTAGCAAGCTGCCCAGCAGGCATGTAAACAAGAACAGAATGACCTGTGGCTTTGTGTAGGTTTAGAAAGTAACTGCACCCATAAGATGTATCTGCAACCACACCCAGAAATTCGACATTTGGCCAGAACACCTTGTCAAAATGCAATACTATTTTATTCTCAATTCCCACCCCAAGGTCATCAATGGCAGCTCTTTTCCACTCTGGAAGCTTTGGTTCAAACTCGATGCTTCCTGACTTGAGCACACCAAGAGGAACAGCAATGATAGCAGCATCCGCCACGAATGTGCTACCATCTTCTACTGTCACCTTCACCCCGTTATAACGCCTTGCTACTCTTGTAACCCTAAGGATCATTTTCAAACCATACAAGTTTAGCTTACAAAGCAACTATATAATTTTTCTAGATATATAACCTAAATTGTTTAGATAAAAGTAGAGATTACCTGTGGGCCAAGCGGATGTCTAGACCTTTGGCAAGGGTGTTTATCACGGGAAGATAGCCCCTGACCATAAGCCCATGACCACCAGGGAGCAAAACTTCCTACAAAGAAAAAGGAAAATAAGCAGACTATTAAAATTATAAAACCAAAGACTAAGATGGAATGAAACCACCAGAAGTATAATAGACACGGAGTATAATAGGGGATACAGGAGAACAACTAATAGTTGAAGATCAAGTTCAACACATGACAATGTAATCTCAAAGATAGACATATACCACCTATTTAGAAAGTCAGACAATTTCTCCAAACAGGTTCAACAACATTCCACATGCATGGGTACTAAACCTTGTCTGACATAGGCACATGCTCATTTCTTAACTACTCCAACTTTCCACCATTAAAATCTTTAATTCTCCATAATATAAAATATATCAACATAGGATTTTATTTGTGCATGCGCTGTTCTGCTGATGCATTAAATTGTAATGTCTTACACACTACTTCTGTAATAGGTCATATGGTTTGGGCTGCTTGGCAGATAGAAACCCTAAGCCCATACCACATTTAAATTGACTGATCTTCTGCAAATGAAATTTGACAATCCAATGCAATGGAGCTGTGCAGTGAACTACAGAGCAAAGTACTTTTTGGCTTTTTACTAAACAAACTTGACAGTGCAAAAATGCAAGCAAACCCAAGGTTACTAACAAGTTTGCTTGGGTCAGTTTCATGCGGACCACTTTCCAGATTCTTTTGTCAGCTTAAGATGAGATTTTGCACATATCTGATTATTTTTATAAAAACATGCTTTACTAACTTAAATAAACCATAGAAATCAATTAAATGATGCACGAAAACTTGCCTGATCCCAGGATTTAAGTGAGATGGTATCAGCATCTGCAGCAAACCAGCCTTCCATTCTACATAAATACCATTGCAACACTTTGTGAGCAAGCCCCTCCAACCTGCCAGAAAAAATCAATTAATTTGTTTCCAACTGCTATGACATACAATAAACACACTTTCTATGCAAATAAAACCTTAATTCTGGTCTCCTTTCTAAAACAATGGAGAAAGCACGAAGTATGGACATGTCTTCATTCTGCTCCTGTCTGACCTTATCCGTCTGCAACCATTTAAAAAAGAAATCAACTCAGTCGTACACATAAGTAAAACCAAATACCATCTTCTTCTTCTTGAGACTTAAATTGGGGGAAGGGGGTGTTAAAAGCGGAGTTCGGAATTAATTGTTCTATGTATAAAGAGAGAAAATTTTAAATAGGAAGACATGCCTCTTTCAAGATATTCTCAAATGCTTCGCCAACTTTCTTAACCAACTCTTGAGGAACTTGGTTCCCATCCATATCAAAAAGCGCATAGCTGCAAAAATGAAAATACAAAAACAAGCAATTCATGGCCTGGTGTAGAGATGATTATAAACTCAATGCGGAGAAAAAATTGAATTAAGAAAAAAGGAAATAAATGTAAGAAAGATTAGTTTAATGCCTTGAACTCAATCAGTCAACTCATTTCGGGCAAACTTATGTCCGAGAAGCAAGATCATTTACTATGTAACAGTGGCATATATATGAAATGGGGTACGTAGCACCAAGTTCTGATGTAAAGAGCAAATTTCACTTTGACATTGCTTAAGACCCTATTTCAAGACGGATGTTTATCGCCAACACATATCTAGACAGTTAAGAGCAAGAAGGAAATGATTTGCTTGCCTTTCCAAATCATGGTCATACAACACGGAGTTATCACCGCTAGTACGATACAGGGGCAGTCCTAGTCTTCCAATCAACGGTGCCAAAGGATTCTCTTTGCTGACGCCATGCAACCTGATATATCGACATTGTGCTTTTACTTACAATACTCTTTAAGGAAAAAAAAAACAAAAAAAAAAAGCAAAAGGCTAAAAAGCTTTCACTTTTCTCGGGAAAAATGAGAGGATAAAGATAGAGAGTTAACCATGACGCCCCCAGGTCAACTGGAAAACCAAATGAGTAATCAGTACAAACCCGACCGCCAATTCTATCCCGAGATTCCAGCAGAAGTACCTGACGAGCAAACAAAGGTTACATTAAAGAATATGGTAAGCGCACATCGTATCAAAAGAATAGCAATGAACGTATACGAAAACAAGTTTCGGTCCCGGAAAATAACAATAAAAGCTTGTTTTTGTGCAGTCGACGTAGTAAAAAATCAAGAAAAGGGCATAAGTGGCGTCAGCTTGACTGGTTTGGGCATGGAAGCTACGAAGAGATAAGTCTAGCCAAAAAAGGTATAACTTTAAGTTACTATGGGCACATCATCAAGTATAAAATGAGCTTACTTATTACATGGTTATGCAGGCCTTTAGCACTTAACCAAAGAGCTGAGAAAAAACAGCGGTTAGAATACTCGATAAAAGTTTTTTCCGAAACAGGTTGTGGGTCCGTCTCTAACGCATTAATTAACCAGAGCCTCAACCAAACAGAGTCTTTAACAAAAAGATTTTGCAGAATGAATAGTTTAAAAAGATCCGAAGCTGTCGCTGCAAACCTGAAATGACGCATCGCGAAGAGTGCGAGCGGCTGCGAGTCCAGCCATACCAGCCCCTATGACGATGACGGATGGCGACCTTGCTTGCGCCTCAACATTTGAATAGCAGACAGCTGCACGCAAGAAACAATATTCAATTCAGTTTACTTACGTCACCTAACCTTAGTCGACCTAAATATTACAATACCTTCTTTATTCATTTTCCTCTAATGTTATGGCTTTTACTTTTGACACCTAAACATCTTAATCATACTATAGGACAAAACGCTCCACCGGCCAAGTGCCAACCCCACCCAATAGAGGAGGCCACATAAACACTAACACCTACCAGAGGTATGTTTGGTTTAGATCGTCTTTTTCATTTCATTTTTCCGGGAAAAAGAAACAAGAGGAATTATCATCTAATCTGGAAAGTAGATTTACAATCCCAAGCAGACAACTACGAGCGAGAGGCGCTTCCGTTACCACTACTTTTGAGTGAAAAAAAAACATGCAGGTTGTCCACAATAATTAGTCAAAAAAGACGACAAACCCTCCAAGGAACGGACAAACATGTTCTGTCAGTGAAAGGAATCAGACTTCTATCTTTTCTACCTTATCTTTCTTTTAAAACATAATAAATACTACTCTGACCGTAGTAGACAGTAAAAACGCGCCACCGACATAAGGAGTATTGATCGGCACGACTAACACAGAATAAAATAAAAAATCAAGAAAGTGAAACATTAAAACAACCTGAACGCAGTTGGCGATTACTCCTGTCTCCAGATTCCATGTTTAAAAGATAACCGAAGATTACGATTAGGATCTAAAAATGAAATTGACAGGAATATTGGTTTTTGCTCAAATTTAAACAGAGAAAGAGGCAATTGAGGGGAATAATGGAGAATGAAGATCAATAAACAGGTTATGAAATGGTTGGAATTCGAAGACGGAAAATCCAGGTTTCCCAACCAGCTCATGCGAAATCCTTTTTTCCAATCCTCGTCTCCTGTGGTGTCTGCCGAATCGGGCGGCTGAAAACCGGCGGCACGCGGAGATTTTGCTCTCCGAGGGAATTGGCGAGAAGGAAAGCGAAGATTCGAGATCGGTTTGGAGAGGGAGAATTGGAGATCTAATCAGAAGAAGAATTTTCAAGAGAGTTTGGTGATTTCTTTCTCTCTGGAGGGTTTCTTGGATCCCTCGATCAGGGGTTGGTTGGATTTTATAGACGTTTCCGAGCCAACCATGTGATGTGCTGCCACTCGCCTCGTGTAATCAAAACCACTACTCGCTCCCTTGATCTACCACGTGTCATACTGGGAGGATATATTGGGAATTTCTTATATGTTTCGGCTGCTACCTGCAAGTACATGCACAAACGAGTTTTACTTTTGCGTATCGTTGCGGAGTGGTAAAGTGTGTACATGGTTTTTTTTTTTTTAATTAATATTTCTTTTTTGTTAATATCACGCGGCTGTCATAATTTAAAACTAACAGTTCGAGCGGGTAAATTCTTTTTTACCAATTATTTTCCTTCAATGCGTTATTTGAAAATTATCAAATTACTTTATTTTCAAATAAATATAAAAACTATATATTATATTAGTATATGAAAATATCATATATTATATTGATGCGAATGATTATTCTAAATATATATTAATATTATATTTATAAAATTATAACACGTGGTATATTTTATTATTACAAAATATAATAAATAGAGATTCAACGAATCTTAATATATGTTATCATATATATTGTTGGTTTTTTATAATTAAATATAGGGATGATATTATAATTTTCTCCATTAAAGTTTAGCGGTAGATATTATTAACAAAATAAGAAGGAAGAAGAGTATAATTTTAAAATATAGATGTTAGTATAGTATTTTAAATAAAAAGAAATAATTATTAATTAACAGATTTATCTATTTTTTTTTTCTCCTCAGCATAGTCCTACATTTTTTAATAAAAAATATATAATAAAAATAAAAATAAGATAATTAAGACTATATTTCGACCTAGTAAAATTTAATTATGGGATATATTTAAAAATTCAAGACAGATATTTACTTCATTAATTATTCGTAGCTACTTTTGTTACTATTTAATACATATATATATATTTTAAAAAAATAATAATTCAATCGTTCACGTTAAATAAATAATACAAAAATTATAAAAAAATTTCTCCCAAATATAAAACTCTGAAAAATCTCGCAATATAATGGACCCTTTCATCACAATTTCTCCCAACTCAACTCGACAAAACATCAGATCAAAGAATTAATAGTGTCTTATAATTCTCGAGAATAGGCTCAAATTTAGAGTCGTCATCATCTTTGGTCGACAGAACTTTCTATACCTGCAGCGCATTAACCACTACAATACCCGGACCTGAAAGATGAAGAACGATATATTTCAAGGATTCCCAACAGCCCAGTAGTTCCGCGAGGTAAACAGACCGACATCCTCGTAGTTTCCCTAAAAATGCAACAAACACTCTTTACCAAAAAAAATCCCATGCAGCCGCACCGCAACCGCCCTTCCCCCATCGGAGCAGGAAACTGTTCCATCAACATTGCACTTCCAAAACTCCAGGCCGCGGCACCCTCCACTAGATATCATTTTTTTTCTTATTCAAATTCAATACTATATTTAACTATGCACAGAACAGAATGTCAAATATTATCACTGTAAATTTATACTAAACAAAATGGAAATAAATTTAATAATCTAATATAAAAACAATAGCAAATTATAGCAAAATATAGTAACCATAACCACCAAAACATTTCCCTAACATTTAACTGCAAGTACCTCTTGTTAAGCATATATATATATATATATATATATATATAAAGAGAATCCACATAGTAAGAAAAAATGAAATCTAATAAAGTCTGGCCATTATCCTAGCCTATAGAGATTTACAATCATCCAAAAGCATTGCTTAGATAAAGACAAGAAATCTACATTAGGTGTACCAAGAACTACAGTAAAAGAGAAGGAAAAAAAAAAAAAAAAACACTCTCTTGCTATTTACTGCAATCCATCCTGCAAACAATCTGAATAACTTTGTTGTATCGTTTTTATCGAATCCGGTGGTTTAAATCTCTTCATTTTTTATCTTTATCCTTTCCAATATTATCACGAGGAAATAAAACAACTAACTATAATAGGCCGCGAAAAGACAATTCATTTGAACACATCTTAAACCATGGAGCACCTGGTCTAACAAAGACCTGCAGAGCAGTGCTGATAGGGATATGCTTAGAAGGCAAGCAAGAGAGATGGAGATATGAACAAACAAAGAAATCTAATAGATATTAGAAAACAGAGAACTATAAATATTTATAACCTTTAATCTGATGGGAGTTAGTCAAAGAATAGAGCTAAAGGTTTCAATAGGATCAGACTCTTCAAGCATGGAGGCTGCCTGGAAGCAGTCTGTGGCATCAGCTATTCGACCATCATCCCTGTGAACCAAGCCCAAGTAATACCAAGCCATTCGGTTGGTAGGTTCTATCCTCAATGCATCTGAAAGTAAGCTTCTCGCCACAGGCAATGCCATTGAGCCTCTCCTGAACATCAAAGCGCCAATCAATATTCTGCAATGGACATAGGACGGTTCAAGTAAGAGAGCATTGATATAAGCAGCAAGCGCTTCCCGGAACTGTCCACGTCCTTCACACATAAGACCTAGAAGAGTTAAAACAAGAAAAGAGAACTGTCACAAAAGCTATTATTTGGTACCCATGCAACATTTTTATTGCCTTCTACATCTCAAATTCTACACGAGCAGAAATGCAAGGTTTTAGAAGCAGCTAATCAAAAGTCCCCACAAGTACATAAACCAACCCATTGAAGTTGGAATCTCTCACCAAAAAAAAAAAAAAAGAAACTAAAGCACTAAAAGCTGCTTTCAAAGTAAATAAAGTGTTCTTACCTTCTGTGTGCAGGATTTCTGCAGAGAACTGTTTCAGTTCCCTGGCTTTCCCCAAACATACCTCCACATCCTTCCAATGTGCAAGGCTAGAGTATAAATTTGCAAGACCTTGCCAAACTTCAAACTCGTTGAATTTGTCATCTTCAACCTGTAGCAAAAGACAAAACGTCCAATTAGCAGCAATCAAGACAGAAATGTGTTCAAGATGTATATTTCCAAATGAAAGTAAATATTGAAAGCACAAATCAGTACAAAAGCAACATGGAAATACTGTAAAGGACTAGAATATTATTGCCCATTTCTTGAATTCTCAATAGGGAATATCTACATCACGAAATCTGCAGTCCATTCAAAGTTATTGCTTATGCATATGTAAAGTGAAGTCGCCTCCAAAGTGAGTATTAATTTTACAAAACAAACCAAAAAGAACAATAGAAAATAAGACAATTAACTTTGACTTGATTTCTTTCTATTGCAGCCAAGTGAGAATTTCCACATGAACCAGCCAGATCCAACATTCACCTGGAGGCTCAATTACCAAAAATGCAAGAATATGCAAAAATTTATCAAAAAATATTCAAGTATTACTTTCCATCTTGAATTATACCTGGAAATCTTTTACATGCTACAATCACAGGTCATCGTAAATAATAAAAAATTGGCATCGATTACATATGAACAAATGCATTTCTGGCAAGGTAATAATATTAGACGCTCTTAGCTCTAGTTCTGATCAATTGGACAGGTTATAATAATAAAAGATACATAAACAGTTCCATTTCAAGACAAGAGAAGCAGAGAAAGAAGATCCAAGTCTAACCTGGGAAATACTTCTAAGAGGACCAAATGATTTTCTTTGAGCTTGGACCAATGCAAGGAGATAACGATATGTTTCAATGGCATCCATGGGTCTTGACTGGGAGATTTTCAGCTTGGCTTTCAGCCTAAGCAATGGCCCTTGCTCCCACTTTGCAGTCTCATCTAAGGCAGCATCAGTTACGACCTCTGCTTCAGAGAATCGTTGTTGGGCTGACAAAATTAGAGCTAGCAATCTCCAACCTTTCAATATTGAGCCTCCTGTTGCATCAATAAATTGCTTTGCATAACGCAAAGCGACATTTAGATTCCGTTGCTCGGCATATTGAACCCCCAACTCAAAAATCAGATCTGGATTATTGTGCTCAAAAGCAATAGCTCCATCTAATGACTTCAGTGCTTCAGACTGAAGTCGAGATCTCTCGAAGTCAGAGGATGAAACTTTTGCTTGCTTTCCCAAACAAATTCCCAACATTCGAAGCCCCACACCAGTCAAATGCTCATTCATCTGCTGAGAATTGGCAATGGCCCTCTGAGCATAACCCACTCCCTCAGCAGCAAGAAGAGAGTCTTCACTGCAGATCTTGGCAGCTAGCAATAGAGCCATGAGGTCATCAGGCCGCTCATGTTTATGGAGAGACTTCCTCAATAGGTTCAAGGCAGCATCACTTTGCCCTGCTCCACTATAGCAAAGAGCTAACGTATTCCAACGCTCAACGCGATTGAATACTCCTGGCATGATCTCTTCAAGTTGTTTCGCTAAAACAGAAGTTTGGCCGCAAAGAGAGAGTGCAAATTTTAGGTGCTCAATGACTGATGGATCCCATTTGGCCTTTCCAATGTGAAATTTCTTCATAAGAATCATTAAAAGCAGAATTGCCTCTTCCAGATTATTTCTTGGAATGTAAGAACCGTCAATTTGGGCAGCTAAACTGGGTGGCCCAGCTTCCACTCCACAGTGTAACAGAAATACTGCAAAAGCCTTCTGAATCCTTGCACAGCAATCATTGTCAAGGTTCCATTGGCTGAGGAGGGCACGTCTGTAAGCAGACATTGCCTCATGACACTTACCAGCCTGCTTCAAGAGCTCTGGAAGGAGTTCTACTGCTTGGCTAACTGTATCTTGTAATCTGGCATCCACTTGCACATCCGGTATGCCCTGTTGGAATATTCTCTCAACAGCATCAAGTACGCTTGAACATTCATGAGCAGCTTCTGCAAAACTCCACAAAGCAATATTCAAAATGGGAAGAGCAAGCTTTTGATAAGAAATTATTCCTTCCAAAGAGGCATGAGATCTACTGCTGGAAAAGGAACCATACCAGTTAATCTTCCAAGCTTTTGGAGAGACTTAGCTTTTAGGTATATGGCCTCCAGCACTAGGCTAGCAGCATGTTGTGAGATGGCATGCTGTGAATCACCCCGGGTGCGACCTTTTCTCGTAGACTTTTCAGGAGGAGGAGGTTGGAATCGCTGTATGGCAGCTTGAAGATCAATGCCATCAAAGACACGAAGGGCACCTTCTATATTGCCTCTTTGGTACTCCAACCTTCCAAGAAGAGCTCTTGCTTCCTGCAAAGTTCATAAATAATAAGGCCTCCAGCTTCTTTATGCATTACAAATGTGTTTCATATTTATGCCAGTAGAAAACATCTCAAATGGTATAAGGAGAAAAACACAAGAAGAGTCTCACCAGAGATTATTATAATACATGGCAACAAAGCCTTTATATTACGGCCATGATCATTCATGGATAAGTGAAACTTTGAGCTTCTAGTATGCTGAATCAGTCTGAATTATCAACGAAGGAGAGAATGCAAATATTTACACACAAGTCTGCGTGCTTATAAATATGTTTGTAAATCTAGCTAATTTTATAGATTCAGGTAGAATACGCATTAAAAACAAAAATCCTGCAAGAATTCTATTTTTTTTTAAAAAAAAAGAATAAACTTATTTTGGGAAGCAACTAGGAAGCCAAAGAGAGGGGTTTGTTTCTTTGATAAAACCAACATGTACTCCATCAAAGTACAAAGCTTACTTATAAAAACACAAGTACTGGGAACTTCAATAATTCTCTAACAAAAATCCTCCTTGAAGCTATTGCAAAGGTTAGGTTCTACGTAAGTGCTTTTCTAGCCTTCCTGCTAACATCACTTCAAAAGTGCTCAGGTTTCAATTGAGGTTAAACTTGAGAACTCAAACCGTGGCTACATGCGTCCTAATGCACCAATAAAACGTTGGGTTCTAGGGTTTTGCCAATGATCATGTACACAATGCATCAAAATGGCATCTTGTGGGGCTTGAATAAACGGAAATGAAGTTCCATTCTCCTTTGTTCCCATATTATGTAATCAAATTTTCCAACCAATGCATGTAGTAGTTAATAAAAAGTTGCAGCAGAGATGTTTAACAAGAACCAACCTCAAAATTGAGCGACAAGCCCTCTCTTAATGAAGATTCTGCCTCTTGAATATTTCCCTCATCTAGTTTTGCTTCAACATCTGTAGTTTTCATGCAAATTCCATTTGCACACACTTGTCGGACCTCCTTGTCTTCCACATTGTCAGTGGAATCAGTGGACTGGCTCCCCAACATCTGTAACCTATACCTTCCTTCATATACTTCACTTTCCTCCTTTAATCTTCCAAGTGCTTCAAACACCGAGCAGATTTACAACTGCAGTTCTTCCAATAAGGGATACATGAATTTACACCCAGGACACAAAACAAATTGAAAATACTAACTATTAACCTAGTAGATCCAGGAAAAAAAAAATCTCAAAGCATCCGGTTTTCAACATCACGGGTCATTGTATTATCTATAGAAAAAGATAAATACGGTACAATTACATCATTAACAAAGAAGAACTGAAAAAACCTGGAGAGTCGTCTTCTCTGTTTTCCAAAGATGGAAAATCGACTTCAACGGTCACTCAAGATTTAGGCAGCAACTCTGAGTTGAATGTGACTTTATGCTATCAGGTCCACCTGGTGAAGAAATGGAGTAGTTATATATAACTTTCTTTCCCTAACATCTTTAGCGACCAAGTTCATGCTCAAATCAATTATAATGGCCCAAAAAGATGAAACAATGAAACACGAGAAAAAGGCTTTAAATCATTATCCTCTACGCGTCACAGGAGGGATCGAATTGTAACCAAAATTTTCGCTGCCGACAACATGCGATTCAAAATCGGAAATCTAGATACGTTTCGTGATTTGTTAGCCCATAATCCATTATATGCACCTACTCATTTTCTTTACCACGGAAGTTTAGACGAAGTTCTAAAAATAGAAGCACGGGATTTCATAATTTGACATCAATTTCTTCTGTTCTCAACGAAATTTTGCCAGCAAACAATCAAAGGCGAAGGAAAAAGTAAGTCAACCTCACCTCTGAAAAACCAACCAAATGACGCTGGTGAAACCAGAATATGTGCTCCGAATCTGAGCGCCAAACCGATCGAATCCCCGGTGCGAACCAAAGATTTGAGAAAATGACAATACGGTTTCTCAAATTCAAAAAAATTTCAGATCGAATTTCTGATTTTCTTGTCGGTTAAAGCATTCAATCGATTTCACAGAGGGGAAACTTGACCTCAATCTTCGGCTCCTCCTCCTCCTCCTCCTCCTCCTTATTCTGTAAAAAATTAATTACGTCCAATAAACACTAATTTGAGTTTTACGGCAAATTCGGATCTTTATTTGTAATCTGTAATCATCAAGGCGCAATGTCCCGTGAAATGGAGGTGCGCTGCGCATCGTGTTAGGAGTCTGCGTAATAAATTAATTTCTTTTATATTAAAATATATATATATATAAATTATTTTATTAATAATTAAAATAAATAAAACCGATTTATTAGTAAATGGCAAAAATATTAACTTTAATTTAAAGACATAAAAATTAATCAGACTTTAAACTGTGGCGAAGGGGCAAATATCTTCTTCAGTAGAAGATAAGGAGTACGTAATGGTATCAGAGTTCTGGTAGAGCCTTTTCTCATTTTCTACTCTGCAAAAACTGAACGAAGACGAGAGCTCGCCATTAATGAGCAGCTTTAAGGAATTGCTGATAGATATCGTCATTTTCTTGTTTGAAGTTTATCGTTTTTACTGAGTTAAACCTGTTTTAATAGTTGAAACTGAGAAGCTCTTCTCCATGCCACAGACTCTGTTTCTAAAGCCAGTCATTTCAGCTCCGTCGAGTCATTGGATTTGGAGGTTTCTTCTCTTAAACTCTTCAATCACCGTCTTTTCTCTTTTTTTTTTTTTCCTTTGTTTCAGTGAGTATAACGTATCCATTTTTTTTGAGGTTTGGTTGCTAAACTTACCTGCTTGCTACAAATTGGCAAGTTCGAATTTGAGTAATTGATTTTGGTTTCTGTTAGGTCATCAAGAAAATGTAGCGATAGTTATGGTTTGATATCTGTTTAATTGGAGGTTTCTTCTCTTATTTCCGACTCTTCCTTGTGGTTTTCATTCTAGTTCTTGCTGCTCGTATTAGGAATCAATCGATAGTTTGCGCCGTGTTAAATTTTGAAGTTGTTGTTTCTTCAATTTTTTTTTTTTTGGTTATTTATGATGGTTTTGAGATTGTAAGACATGGATTTTCTGTTTGTCATCAGCCGACCGAAACTACATGTCGCTCTTCTTGATGCAAATGTTGGAGTTTCAAGGAAATTTGGCGTTATTTCTATGGGTATGCTGACACCGAGAAAGTTCTTGCAGAAGAGAAAAGCACCCCTTGATGCAGACCAGAAAAAGTGGAGGGGACTCATGAAAGAAATTGAGGAGGCAGGTTCTGCAGTTTCAGTGCTTACAAATAAAAGGATCAATGACGAGGATCTTCCTAGGGACCTTGTTCTAGGCACCTTAGTTCGATTCAAGCAGCTAAAGAAATGGAAATATGTTAGTGAGGTATTCAAAAGACCTGCAATCCTCCTTTCTCCACTCTTTCATATCAATGAAGCAACCGTTGTCTTTTTTCAGATGAACTCACAAATACTCTTAGTTCATACAAATTTTCTTTTTTAGAAGACCTTTTTTTTTATATTTACTTTTTAAAAGAACTAGTATACATACAATTTTTGAGTTCAAGAGAGTGAAGATTTGAAATTATGTCCATTGCTTGAGCTTTAAGGAAAAGAAATCAAAATTTTTCTATGGAAACCCAGCCCTTGTGTATCTTTGATAAGATATTCTCCAATTGAATTTCATGTTCTGGGAGTCATTTCTCAATAATTGTATATGAGAGAGTAGCCAAGCTACACGCCAGTCTTGCGATATCTACTTTCACATAAAATTCAACTACTAAGGGTTCTATAATCGTACTGGGAATGGCTAAAAATTTTTTATGCTAGTCATCTTAGTTCTTCAATTAAAGCTAAAATCTAAAAGAACAAACGTAAATGCTGTGTAGGCAGTCCTCATCACCTGAAAAAATTCAGATTGTTTAATATAACATTATTTGTAATCCGCGGGACTAGAACCTGCACTATCAAACTCACCAACTGTTTAAGTGGGCAGTATATGACCACCTTAACCAATGGCCAGGGTTCAAATTCTTTACAATTGAAACAATGGGATCATGACTCTTTCAGAGGTATGCTGGTGATTTAAATTTTTCGTGGTATGAAATAAGATTTTTTGTTCTTACCATGCTCTTTACTTTTGGCATTTGGTATCAGTTTAGATTTGGCTACTTGTTACATGTTGAGTTCTCTTCGGCCTACACACCCACGCATAATATGATAATCTCCTTTGTCTTCTAGATTCTTGAGTGGCTTCGAACTCAGAACTGGTGGGACTTCAATGAAATGGATTTCCTGATGCTTATTACAGCATATGGTAAGCAAGGGGATTTCAACAAGGCTGAGAGGGTATTTAGCATTATGAATAGGAAGGGCTATGAACCGAGTGTTGTATCTTGTACTGCTCTTATGGAAGCATATGGAAAAAGGAGGCAGATATAACAATGCTGCAGCAATATTTCACAGAATGCAGTCTGTAGGTCCTGAACCATCAACTTTAACGTATCAAATTATGCTTAAAATATCTGTAGAGGTAAAGTGCTTCTTTCTCATTAAAATGTAAGTTATGGCACTACAATGTCTTTGCCTGTAAAGTACGTAGTTAAGCATCATATGAGCTATCGGAACAGATATAAGGAATGTGAACCCAAAATTACACAAAGGCCAGCAGTCTGAGTTTATTTCAATTCTTGTACTTCTTTCATTAGTTTTTATTCTATTTTCCTTTTATTTCGTATTTTATTTTGTAATTCCTTATTGATGCATTTCCATATCAGCTCTCTTAGTATATTCTTCTCCTGTTTCTTTTCCTTCTCGAGCTTACCCGAAGTTTAATATACATCAATAACAAGATGATAATTCATTTCACTGGGAAAAGTAGCAACTCATTTAGTCCATCTTTCTCACTAAGAAATTACTTTGAATTCCTTTTATGGTGACTGTGAACAACCAATTGCATATTTAAGGCATCTTGATTGAACTCATCCAAGATTGCATTTTAACATTTGAAGAACCACAGAAATTTTTAGCTAATGAGTATCAACAGAACAATATCAAATCCTTTTTGAAACGGGAGAAGTTTGCCTAATCTTTGTAACCTTGACTTTTAGAGCTGTATTTTTTATTTTATTGTGTAATTGCTGTTACTTCAGGCAAACAAGTTCAAGGATGCTGAAGAAATTTTCGAGACCCTTCTGAATGGTGGGAAATTGCAATTGAAGCCAGACCAGAAAATGTTCCACATGATGATCTATATGTATAAAAAGGCTGGGAATTATGACAAGGCTCGTAAAGTATTTGCACTAATGGCAGAAAAAGGGGTTCAACAGTCTACAGTCACTTACAACAGCCTTATGTCATTTGAGACCAATTACAAGGAGGTTTCAAAGATCTATGACCAGGTACAATTTTTGTAGAAATGTTTGATCTAGATTTCCTATTATTCGGTTAACTTCCTAGAGGTGGGTAGTAGTATTTTGGGTTCAATTATGCCTACGACTGTTCAGCTTGTTTCCTCAGTAAATTTCAGAAAGACTTGACAAGCTTTAGAGGAAATATATTTTTCTGATGCTCTCCTGATATTCTCATGCTTTCTAAAATATTAGTCAAAGTAGCATGTGCAAGCAAAGTGCTAACTTTATGCAAATTAATGTTGAGATGAAATGATCTTATGCTTGATGTTAGAAGAAGCATAGACCTTTTTATTGGTCTGAGATATGTATGCCGGATGCATGGGAAGAGAAAGAAGGATGTTGTTTCTTCAAACCCTCTTAGTTCAAACAAATAAGGAATTTCGGTTTTAAGGTTCATGTTATCGTAAATAACATTGAAGTAGGAAAGTCTGTTAGCATTAAAATCCTTGTGGTTTTGGCTTAAGTTTCTATTTAAGACTTATTTAGAAAGAAAGCAAGATAGGAACGTTCAATTATTTAGGAATAAAACTTTGGCATGTTTGCTTAAGTGGCTAAACAAGATTATGGTCTCACCAGAAGGGGTGAGTAATGTTATTTATTTATTTATTTTGAGTGCAGACTGACTTTATGTTACGTGGGAAACTGCCCTAAAACTAGGAGAGATAATTATCTCTATTCTTCTTTTTTGTCGCATTATGGATATCTGCTTTGCTTGTGAGCATGCTTTCTTCAGTTTTCATACTTACATTTTGGATATTGAAATAATGCCTAATGTAAGATGCAAAGAGCTGGTCTTCAACCTGATGTTGTGAGCTATGCGTTGCTTATCAATGCATATGGGAAAGCTAGGAGAGAAGAAGAAGCTTTAGCTGTTTTTGAAGAGATGCTGGATGCTGATGTTAGGTGTGTTGGTACTTGTTCTATTTTTCTTCTATTATTTTTTGCTACATAAGGAAGCTCCTGAACTGACTTTTTAGTTTATCAGTAGTCCGCATGACTGAAGATCTTCCATGCTGATGCTAGTATGTTTTCCAATTTATGTCAAGGGATACAAGAGTTTTAGGCTTGTGAAACGAGTCATTGATAAATTGAGACTGATGGTAGTGAGCGCAGCTAAACATCTACTTATTATTTTATAGTGACCTTTGGTATAACAAACCATGATTAGGGTGGAGACTAGCCAGTATGAGCTAACCCTAAATACTCAAATACTTGAGCCATCCTAAATATTTGACCCAAAGCTTGGTTAAAGTTATCTTTTGAGCTCAACCTTGGTTTATAAAGAACTACAAAAATTGAATTCAGATTGACTTAAAGTTCGGTAAGGCTCTCTCGAGTCACATTTCAGCTTCAATGCTTGAATTCCTTAACGTGAGTTTTCATCTGAAGTTTTATTTTTTAGTAAAAATAACCATAAGGTGTATATTATATACATATATAGGTAGTTATGTAAGACTATTAATCTCCAAACATAGTATTATTAGAATAAACACTTTGATATTTATAAATTTAAGAATAACGCCGATGTATATTATATATAACTTAACATGTTATTGCAACTCCAAATTGATCCATATTTGGTTTGTTAAGATAAATAAACTTATAAACAAGCTTGGATATGGTGCAAAACCTGGTCAAACTGAGCTTGATCCAAGCTTTAACCGAACTGTGTTACATCCAAATTGTTTGTGAATAGGCTCATTCGGTGTGAGCCTTACTATGCTGGTAAGGTGGAGGCTAATGGAGATTTAACTATAATGGTTGGGGGAGCGTCTGCTGTGTTAAAATGAACTTTGAGATGCCATTTCACAGTTCTGGTCCAAAATTTTTGTATATCAATGTCAAATTGAGGTTACCAATTGAACCGAAATAGTAACCATCTCTTGTGGACGTTACAGTACTTATTAATTCTCTCCTCTCCAGGCCAACACTTAAGGCTTATAATATTTTGCTCGATGCATTTGCAATCTCGGGGATGATTGAACAGGCTAGGACTGTGTTCAGGAGCATGAAAAGGGACAGGTAAAGTTTTTCCTATCTAGAGCAAGAATTGCTTGAATATTCTTAAGAACTTACCATACCTGTTTTCTGTTGAAGCCCTTTCTATTACCTTCTTATAGGACACAGCTTTAGCTTGTGCTTTGTAGAATGCTTTTGTTGAAAAGTTAGTATTACTTTACACTTCATAACATTTGTGCCTCACCTATATTTCATACTTGTATGCATGAAAGAGCACGCCAAAACAACAAGGATGCTCCACATTCTCCACAAAACTGCACAAAATTACAACCTTTTTCTAAAGGACTTTTGACAAGTATCGAATGGGGTTGTCTAAATGTGAACAAACACTATTTATCTGATATAATGCACGCTTAGACTGTTGTCATTTCATCTAGACCTTTGTCTTAACATCTAAATATTGTTGTCTCCACAATCACAGGCAACCACAATATATTTTTTTGAATTAGTTTCCATGATCTGATTAATGTGCTTGCTTTCTAAAGTTTTTCCTCTTTTAAGTT